GCGCTCAGCTGCAGCACCATCCAAACTTCAGGCATGCCATCGACGGCCTCCTTAAGAATCTGCCAGAAAAACAGTGGAACGTCCGCGGAGCAGTCGTTTTCCAGAACCAGGAAGTAATCTCGGTTTGCAGCCAAACCTGCTTGCAATGCCAATGTATGCGACATACAACACCCTGCCATGCCCCATAGTTCCACAAGAAATGGAAGGCTGTGACGGGGCAGTGCCTGATGCATCGTTGGTTGTTGGCCTTGTCACCTTGTCTGTGCAGCTCAGTCGAACATGACCTGTCTTCAGTCGGCCCGCGCAATCTTTCAGGGCGCGGCCGTCGATGCCAGCAATCCAGTGCATGTCGTCAGCTTTGATAGATTTGATGAAGAGTCGCATATTTTTCGTGCGTTGCTCTTGGCTCGATAGGGTGATGACGCATACCGGACATTGCGACATGGCTCGGGAGTTCAACGCTTCCGGGTTTGCGAGTTTGGGGCTTCAGGTTTAAAGTTGTTCGGAATATCCAACGCTTCGGGCTTAGGGTGTGTATGCGTTCAAGTATAGGTCTAGGTCCAGGTCTCGGTCCGAATCTACAAAAGCCTCGCTTGCTCCGTACCGTAGCTATGGCCCCTGACAAAGTGATACATTTGTGAAAGGCATGATATGTGAGTTCGCAAAGCTTTCAGCTACATGTGTGAGCCCGGACATACAGAAATCTTTCGAGCATCGACGCTCCGTGAAGTCAGACATCTCCTTGACGCAGAGCAATTTGCTGAGTGCGAACACGTCAAAAGTGCCTCCAGCTCCAGGCCCGACGACTGCCTCGTACCGGAAGCTACGGCCTCCTGTCGTGGGTGATTTCGGCATGGGAAAGCCAGCGGAACTGAAAACAAGCTGAGGCAGCTCAGGTTTTCGTCGTGCCCGGTTCCTCGGCCTGAGAGGATCTGGTCGGTGGTTTCCTGGCTCTGGCAAGTAAGCAAATCGCTGCATTGGTCTGCTGATCTGAAAGAAAATCTTCGCTGGCCTTGGCTTTTGGCCGCAGCCCAGCCTTCGTGAGTGTTGACAGCGCTGCAAGACTGCCAAAATGAGCATGGCAAAGCATCAGCGGCCTTCCGCGTTCTGCAGGCCGCCCTTGCCTGGCAGCATCGCCGGGCTGCGGCAACGCTGTTGCATGAAAAGAAGCACCTTCGTCGCCTTGGTCATGAATGCATTCGCGAAGCGCATTGGCCCCAAAGGTGCCTTTGGCTTGGAGGTCTCCTCGAACGGCTATCGGGTAGACACTGCGCAGCCGGATTGGGCGCTGACGGGGCCTCGCTCTTAGCTTTCTTCCGGGCCCTTGCTTCTCTTCCTCCTGACCGACATAAAGACAATGGAAGAAAAGAAGCCCAGGATGCCAGGACGCAGCCCCAGCTCCAGGCCCGAGGACTGCCTCGCGCCGGAAGCTACGGCCTCCTGTCGTGGGTGATTTCCGCAGGGGCAAGCCAACGGAGCTGAAAACAGGCTGAGGCAGCAGCTTGGGCTTTCGTTGTGCCCGGTTCCTCGGCCTGCGAAGATTTATTCGGTGGTTACGGGGGCCGCAGTCCAGCTATCGTGAGTGTCAGCAGTGCTAGCCGCTAACGCTGGACTGCGACAGAGCGGTTGCTTTGACGCAGCCCGTCCTGCGCACTTCCTTTCACCTCGCCACCCTGCGCTTTCTGGAGCAACTTCTGCGCAGCGGCGTCCTTCTCTTCTTGCCCTGCCTCCTCTTGCTGCTCTCGCAGTTTGCCCAAAAGAAACGCTGGGTCATGGAGATGGCCAGCCAGTTTGAAGTCATCTCCGGAAACTAGCCGCTTGCTGCGGTGCTCGCAAAGAAGACCACTCTGCAAAACCCTCATGGAAACGAACTCCTCAGCGGCGCTGGCAAGCACCGCCTGCGCAAAAAAGTCCAGCTGTCCTTTCTTCAGCGAGGCTGGCAAGAAGTAGTCAATGACTCCATCCACCAATATGCTTGGTGCACGGTTCAGCACGTGCTTCTGCGCCGCCAGCTCGTACGCCGGGCGCACGACGCAGCGGTCGCCCTCACGAGTGAGGTCCATGAGACACATGTACTTCTTGTACTTTGTATGACGCAAACTGTCCGGCAGTCTCGCGCTACGCTACAATGCACAGTGGCATCGGCTCAGAGTGAGCAAATGCAGTGAATCCCACCGGGCTAGCCACATGTGGGCAGACACTGCAGGAGCAACGTCAGCATTAACAAAAATGAGACAGAGCACAAGTCAGAGGGCATCGATCTAACCAGACGAACTGGACTACTCGATCGTATATACACATTGGTCTAACCAGACGTACTGGACTACTAGACCTTTGTACACATGGCATCGGTCTAACCAGACAGACTGGACTACTCGACCGTATGTACATGTACAAAAGAGTCCCAAGTCGGAAACAGACCATTGGTAAAGCAACACCATATATATCAGGGGCACCATACAGAAGATTGAAGAGCATTTGATCGAAGGCAGGTGCATAGCATAGTCCACCAGACTTGGAAGCCATGCCATCAAATAAGCAGCCGTTGAACTGTCATACCATAGTGCCATACATGGCCAGTATATATAACCAGTGAAGAACCATGGTCATGGTGGTGGTGGGATCATCCAGCTGAATACGTCGACATGCCATCGTGTATAGCTCCTCAAAGAAATCCTCTCGATAGGTACCCACTAGCAGCTGTTGAAAATAACGTATCGCACCAGACATGGAGAGCTGATAAACATTGCGATGTAGCTGCTTGAGAAGTGTCCTCTTCCACTCAATGTGCGTACATGGAGCCTGTTCAAAGTAGTAATAAATGCCCCACTCAACAATGTCCACGGCAGAAAAACCCCACTGATGCAGAAATTTAGCAAGTTGGTGAGGAGCAAGAAGTTGAGACGCAGGCTGATCCGCCCAGGTATGTAGCATAGCCACCGTGATGCTAAAGATATGCTCGTTGCCCCGGCTCCGAAGACAGTGCGGCACATCATCAAGTGAGTCAGATTGAACTGGAGCCAAGACGGATGGCTGCGCAGAATTTCTGTGTGGACTGTTGTTGGTGATCGCCTGTGCCTGAAAATTGGTTGGCGTGCATCGGTCCCGAAGACAATATGGCACATCGTCCAGTGAATTGTAGGTGCCTCTGGCATCCATCCACTGAGCATGCTGTCTGGACTGATAAATACCAAAAGGCACGTCATGAAGTAAATCAAAACGCATCCGTGTAGCCCCAATGCTCGTACCCGTTCCGGATGCTGACGGTGCTCCCACTGAAGTGTGGGTTGCCGTGAAAAAGTACAAGCATAATGACCTGCACACATGTCCAAGATAAAAACTGGCAAAATGCATGAGATCAGCCAGAAAGGGGCGACGGAGCGAATTGCCACGGATGCAAGTCAAGGCCTTCAACCAAAAAGCATATTGCAACTCTCATGCGAATGCAGCTGTTTTGGACAGTATCGCACCTGACCTAATCACATGGCTCGGCTAGGGTCGCCCTGACACTTGGAACGCAGGTCACACTGCAGCTACAGTGTGCATGAGACACATGCCGCATGTCGGACACTGGTAGATTTTTTTTGCAGTCACAGCGGTGCCTCGCGGACATGACGCTCTCCGGGCATTCTGCGCCTCGACGCACACGTGGCAGCTTTGACGCTCGGGCTCTGCGCCTGCATTGCCGAAAAACTGTGCCACGAGAGTTGTCTCCGCGGTCTCTCGGAACTCCCGGTCCTGCAGCTGCGAGGACAGCATCTCCTTCCGTTGCATTTCTCGCTGATGGCTTTCTTGTTCAGAAACTGTGGACCAGTATGGTGTGCCCCCTGCAAGCTTGGACACAATTTCTGAGGCGTTGGCTGGCTTTCGTGCTCCAACGCAGTGTCGAAGAAGCCGAAACGGCTCTCCACATGTACAAGTCAGAGCATGGCGCATCGAAAGGTATGTTCTTGTGACTGTAACTGGTTTCGTGTCGCTGTAACTGGCGATGTCCGTGTTACTGTAACTGGCGATGTGTCTGTGTAACGTACTTCCTGTCATGGCTACGACGCAGGCTGGTGAGGGAATGGCGACGGGGATGTCGCGGCACCTGAAATGGCTGGCCAGAGGCCAATTGTGTCATCAATCAATTCTGGCTGCGAAAGATTGGCTCGAGCCGACTGTTTTCATCAAGGCTCGAATGCAGTGGCTGCTGGTCTGCTGAAACAGGCTCTAGGCATGTGGTCAGTAGACCAACAAAACGTAATGCTGGTGTCTCTGAAGCGGTGCCACTGGAGACGCAAGCATAGCGGTGCCAAGTTGCTTCGAAAAGTAATGCCAGCTGAGCTGGAATTGAAAGCTGCGCAATGGGAAAGGCTTTTGGGGCAAAATGTCCTGCACAAGACCTGGCTTCTAGCCTCGGTATGGTTGACTACAACTACTACTACTACTACTACTACTACGACTACGACTACTAGTACTACTACTACTAGTACTACTACTACTACTACTACTACTACTACTACTATACTTACGACTACGACTACGACTACGACTACTACTACTACGACTACTACTACTACTCCTACTACTACTACACTACTACTACTACTACTACTACTACTACTACTACTACTACTACTACTACTACTACTACTACTACTACTACGACTACTACTACTACTACTACTACTACTACTACTACTGCTACTACTACTACTACTACTACTACTACTACTACTACTACTACTACTACTACTACTACTACTACTACTACTACTACTACTCCTGCTACTACTACTACTACTCCTGCTGCTACTACTACTACTACAACAACTACTACTACTACTACTACTACTACTAGCCACTCCCCCCTTCCCTACCCAGCAACTATGCTTGTCAAACCAGGGTTATGGAAGCTCGAGACGACTGCGACCACGACAACTACGACCACGACGACGATGACTACCACCACTTCTTCTCCTGCTGCTGCTGCTGATTGAAGTTGTAATGCTACTCTCCTAGCTGATGCCGTTGTTCTGTCCGGAATATTCACCGGGGCCGCCTGCGGCTCCATGCTCGTACCCGCTCGCCGCGGGCCGTGCCGAAAAGACTGGGAAAGGAGGCGATGACGAACCTGGAAGCTCAGTGCTCTTCGATCTCTATCTCTCTCACTCTCTCTCCCGACCGATGCGGCGGGAACCAACTGGATGCGATGTCGTATACCTTATCAGCATGGATATTGCTACATCCTAGAACTGAGTCGAAGCTCCAACGCCCAGGTTGTGACGGGTCTTGAATAGAGATCCCGTAGCTGGGCTCTGGGGCTGCTGAACTGTGTAAAAGCCGGGTCGCTTGATGTGTTCCGGAAAATTCAAGCGTGCTGCAGGCAAGACCTGGAAAGGGAGAAGGGCAGGATGTTCGATGGCTTCGCTGCAAATACGCAACTACTGATGACCCTGATGACGGTGATAGCGACGAGGTAAAATCAGTATAAGCAGCAGCAGGAAAAGTAGTGGTGCCAGCAGCAGCAGCAGCAGCAGCAGGTGGAGGAGGAGGAGGAGGAAGAAGCACTAGAAGTAAGAGTCGAAGAATCGTACAAGTAGTCATCGGAGCAGCAGGAGCAATGGCCGCAGTAGCAGCAGTATTCGCCATCGTCGTCGTCCTCGTCGTCGTCGTGGTCGTCGTGGTAGTAGTCGTAGTCGCGTAAGTGGCGGCAGTAGCAGTAGCGGTACTGTTGATGATATAAATCCTGCATTACCCATAATAAGGAATATACCATCATTCCCGAATCATTCCCATCGTCTAGAGTCTTGTAGTAGTAGTAGTAGTAGTAGTAGTAGTAGTAGTAGTAGTAGTAGTAGTAATAGTAGCAGTAGCAGTAGTAGTAGCAGTAGCAGTAGCAGTAGCAGTAGCAGTAGCAGTAGCAGTAGCAGTAGCAGTAGCAGTAGCAGTAGCAGTAGCAGCAGCAGTAGCAGTAGTAGCAGTAGCAGTAGTAGCAGTAGTAGTAGTAGTAGTAGTAGTAGTAGTAGTAGGTGTAGCAGGAGTAGTAGGAGTAGTAGTAATAGTAGTAGTAGTAGTAGTAGTAGTAGTAGTAGTAGTAGTAGTAGTAGTCGTAGTAGTAGTAGTAGTAGTAGCAGTAGCAGTGGCAGTGGCAGTAGCAGTAGCAGTGGCAGTGGCAGTAGCAGTGGCAGCAGTAGCGGCAGCAGCAGCGGCAGCAGCAGCAGAACTATCAGGGGCCTCAATAGTCAAGAAAACACAATCTTATGTTCTCGACACACCGTGGTCAATCATAGCATTGTACACTCCCGGTGCACTGTTCTCATCGCTGAGGCCCCAGTCCTGACATGGATTCGTAGACTCTAATAAAAAGAAATTTCGTTTTGCTGCTGCTGGGAAGCTCCATGTCCCGGCTGCACCAAGCACCGGGGACACGCTGTGCCTGAACCTTTCTACAACCTGGAAAAAACACCCAGAACCTAGCCAAACCTTAGTCTCACGGCTTCTCAGAAAAAACCAGCGTCCCAATCAGTCTAAAGAAGCGCCTCCATGGCCAAGCAAGCCGTGAAACATGAAATGTCCGTATCAGGCACTCGGCTCCTGTAAGCTCCACGAGCCCGAAACTCCGACCCTCAGCAACAGCTATTTGGCCTCGAAGTAGTGGACGAAGTCCGGACCCGTCAGCGTCGAGCTTGGGCTAAGGGTACGCACCAGGAGGCGCTCCAGTGTGTGCCTTCGATTGCAGTTCGTGCAGGTTCTGGTACTTGAGGCTAAGAGTTGTGGGTGTGTTGTTTCGGGTTCAGGTCAACTGTTTTCAGGTGGGAGGTTTCGATGGGTTTTGGATACCTGGCCAAGTAGTCTGTACTCGGTAATTCGATTACTTTTCAGAAGCCTTTGATCAAGAGGAATGCTGCAACTGTTTCTGGCACCGTGACTGGTTGCAAGTAGTTATCAGTTCTTAAGCGCTGCATTCCATGACTTAAGCAGCTCATGGGCTTGGCAGGGACGACAGCCAAGAAACTTACATGAATCAGGGTCAACCTTTCTGAGTTCCATTGTCAACAGAGCGACTCGTGTACCTTGGAATCACCGTCAGAAGACTACCCGCCCCGAGCTTTTCAGGCCCCGAAGATGATCCCTACTCCGTCAACAGGCATCCGGTCGGAAGTTGGGGTGCGCGTTGTGCCAGTACTGCTCGTTGGTGAGGAGCAAGTGATCAAAAGCCTCGGCTCTCAAGATGACCCCGTTTCACAGCAACGAGGGACTTGCAACTCAAGAGCTCCTCCAAGCCTGGAGTATCGAAGTACGATAGACATCTTGTCTAAGTGAGAGGCGACCCTAAGCTGTCTTTAGCAGATTCTTCAGAAACAGCCCTGCGACATGCCCTTCAACACCACAGAGCCCCGTAGAGCACCGTCGAAAACCTGCTGCGGTTCACAGCGCGATCCCAGCCCCTCAACCGTGAACCCCAAATCGCCCAAACTCGAAACCCCAGACCCTACTGCCCAGACCCCTGAACCATCCTAAAAACCACCCAAACGCTATAAACCCTAACAAAAGGTGGCCTTCATGATTAGAGTTATAAAAAGGAGCTCCCAAAATGGTCTTGGTAGTTATTTACAAGGGGCCTCGAGGCTTCCGAGGCCGGCATGCCCAGGGTAAGCCGAGCAGTTGTGATCGAAGCCTCTTCGTGGGGTTCAAACTGCCACTACCGAAATTCGCTTGGAGATTTTGGGGTTTGGGGTTTAGGGTTTTAGGAGGGTTGTACTTTTCTTCGGTAGGGTTTTGGTTTGGGTATTGAGGCTTCGAGCTCACAGCGAGCCAGGTGTAAGGCTCTGGGATAGGATATCGGCAGGCTTCGGGCTCCATGTATGCATCGAATCCTACCAAACCCTGAACATAAACTTCCAAATCCCCCCCCCATCCGGAAGAATGCCGTCGGAACGTTAGAGTTAGAAGTGTTAAAGTTGAAGGCTCTGCGCTTGGACCTCATTACGTCCTGGCTTCTTGGTTTTTGAAGCTCTACATGTCTCCAAGTTTAGAAACAGGTTGGCAGGTTGCGAGTTCCTTTGGTGCTTAAGCTTACAGGAAAGGGAACCAGAGAGGGCTCCTTGCACAACAAGCAGTTACTCGAGAGCAGAAAGCAAGTTTGGGTACTAAGCCTCATGTGCTTGATGGCATAGGCACGACGACGATGAGCAATAGTAACACAAGAGAGAAGACGTTGCGTGACTAAAACGGTAACATATCTTGCTCCGCTTCAGTACATGCACCTGTCGATAACGGATTCTGAAAGTCAGTGCATAGTCTATGGAACACGACTCTCATGGTATGAACCATACAGTGCAAGAATGGGCCTGCAATGGGTACGGTTCCGTATGTATATATGCACATACATACATAACTACATACATACGTGCATACATACATACGTACAGATTTAAAATGTACCTCCATACATATATATATATATATATAGATAGTCTATTAGACAGATGGAGCTAGAGGCAATGCGCCTCCGGCAGGAGGCATGAAGGAGTTGTTGCACATTCCGGCCCAGCTTCCTGAAGAGTGTAAGAATCTGCGGTAGAGAGTGAAACTCCGCTGTCAGAAGCGCATAGGGTGCTAAGTACTTGAGCCGTGGGTGGGGGTCCCGTGTCGAACGCCGACACGATGGAGACCGCATTTGCCACGCTGGGCCGGAGAACAACTGTGATGTCGCCATACCTGAGGTGCAGCACCCATCTCTGTACAAAACGAAACCAAAGCCAGAGTCCTCGCAACCCGAAACCGACAAGCGTCCCAGCTCCCGTCTACAACTTCCTCGTTGCTTCATCCATGTAGCAGCCAGTCCAGACACCAACCCCAAAGCTCAAATCCTGTGCCTGTACCTTGAATCCGACAGAACTGATTGCCATCGTCACTCCGAGTTCAATTTCCAATGCCGCACAGCACCAAACCCAATGCCCCAAAAGCATTAACTCCTGACCTCTTAAAGCACATGGGCCACGGCTCTGCAGCTACAGACGTTCGTAAGTCTGCAGGCACCTATGTACCTATGTATGTATGTATGTATGTATGTAGGGTTGTATGAATGTATGAATGTATGGATGGATGCATGGATGGGCATACAATGGTATACATTCATTCCGCCATCTCGTCACAGCCCTCGGCTCGCACTGACGGTCTCCACTGTGCAAGGCCCGGAAGAGTTTCTTTGAAGTGTCCAGGGCTTTCGTGTCATTTTGGCTAGAAGGCTGGGGTCTGGCATGACAACAACAGCCATGAAGACGAAAACAACCAGAAGTTTCTTGTTGTTCGGATGTTACAGCCATGACAATTTCGCAGCTTTGCGAATGCCAGATTCAGGAGCTGACTGACTTGGGGGTGTTGAGATGGGTCCAAACTTACATGACGGACTAAGGCCGCACGACGACCGACATATGCTAATCTTGAGCACTCCGGCTGCAAGCCAGAAATCTCTGTATGACAAACCCCCGCCCCCGCTTCACGAATCACCAAAAGACCTTCAAAAAATCCGGATGCAGCACGAGACACAAAGGGCTACCAGCGTCCGTTCGCAGAGCATTGAGCGCGAAGTAAGGTGCCCGCTCTCTGGCCTCTGCCAATGTCCTGCAGAGAGTTCAGACAATTAGATTCAGCTGGAGCTCACTGTTCTTACGAAGACAGTTTCAGGCGCGAGAGCCAGTTCAACACAAGATCTGATCAATCTTTAGCAACTTTCCCCGTTTGATCACTATGGCTCAAACCTTCAACTGTCAGGCACTTCCAAACCGAAGTCGCTGCAATGCAAGTCCTGGGCTTCGCATGAACTTCGAATGGCTTGAAGCCAAAGTAGGCCGCCCTCCGCAGAAAGGTTGAGCCAGCGATGTTCCGAAGCCCGATACTCACCGATAAGGGTCAGGGGTGAGGAGATCTTGATGGGATGGAGTGCTGTGAACCAGAGTATTAACTCCAACTTGCGGGGACCCGGAGCCTTGAAACTTCTTCCAGCAGGGCCATGGGTCAATGGGTCTGCGGGTTTCGAGCTCTTCGCGATAAGCCGAAGCAAAAATGAACTCTTGCATCTTCCAGTTTCCCCCGAAGCTGCTGACCCAACTCCGTTTAAACACGTGTCGTGGTGGGCAAAACCTCGGCAAGCTAAGATAGCAAAGTGCCGAGGCGCTCAATCCAGTCCAAGCCGAAGCTATAGTTGGACAGCTCTGCACGATTCCGCACCCAGATCTCCCAGAGGTTCCTGGTCATCTTTCTTCGCTGTAGGGGTTCTGGTGTGCATCACACGAAGATGATTACCAAGGATAATCTAGGCTCCTTGCTTAGAAGTTTCTACATGAAGGAAACTACTCATGGAGCACTAATCGCCCGTGGGTGCTTGACGTAATTTTGGCTAAATCCGAGCCAAGCAGCTCGTAATACGGAACGCGCTCCGCCTCATCCAAAGAGAATGAGAACCACGAAGCGTTGACCTGAAAAGGCTCGACTTCTGAGAAGATCTTAGAGCCCTGCGACCCAGGATTCGGGAGCTGCGGCACTAGATATCTCCAGCACGGCAGGAGAAGGCAGGCCTGTGCGCTGAAGCCTGAGACCACCTCTGCGCTTCGCACCTGGCCGACACGCGCGGATGTTGGATCTTCAGGTTGACAGGCTTGAGATGGGAAATCCGAGATGTCCTTCCAAAGCCCAGGAGTCATTCCACCTCGAGGCTTCTGCTTCTGCACTTTCCGAGCTCGGACCCTGCCTAGCCTGCATTTGCCCAAAATCAATTATCGTCTGAGAGCCGCGAGCTCTGGGCAGCACCAGGGTTCACAGCTTTTGCATCCGCCTGAAACTAAGGGGGTCTCTTCTCCATACTCCAGATCGACTCGCCGCACTTACCCTCGCCTCCGCTCGCAGGCGATCGGCCAGGGCAGGTGCCGGAAGTGCTGCTGCCCCTGCGGGCCCCCCCCCCCCCCCCAGAACCTGAAAGCCGAAGGGGCACAAATCCCCCCATACCCGACAGCACCAAAACATTAAGCCCCAAGACTTGGCACCGCAAGCTCCGATCGCAAGGTTAAGTTTTGGGCGTTCCTTGGTTTCTGGCTGAGGCTTTCGGCGATGTCCTTCGGCAGTTCTGACTTGGGCCCCCGAAGGTTGAGGCGTTGGTTGCTTCAGCTGGAAACTGAGCCTCCCCAAATCCTGACAGACAAATAGCAGCCCACAGAGAACCCCTCCACTCCTTGAGCCGGGAGAAGCTTGAACTGATTTGGGTGTACACTTGTCGACTCACTGTTGAACCGGTGCCTCGTCCCTGCAGCAGCAGCACTGAGCTCAAACCCTAAAAGCCCCCAGAAGCCGGAGATTGATCCCATTCCCCTCCGTGAAAAAATCCCTGCCGGGGCGCAGATGGACAGCACTTGCCCAAGGCTTCCCGGATGTCGATACCTTGACTATGATGCCACTATATGAATACTATACTGGTACTATATTCATACTGTAATAACACTGTCATAATACTCTCTGAAGGGCCGAGGCCCTCCTTCTAATCAGGCTTAGGCTTCACCTGTTTGGGTCAACGACTCACTCGGGTGCACAGGACCGATTGCAAGAGCGAGCAAGAAGAAGAAGAAGGCTCGGATCTGAGAATGAGGTAACCTGACTTTCGTCACACATACGCCCTTACCTGGAACTTCTATGGCTCGATTTCTTGGAAAACTGAAAGTCAAGGATCTCTATCTCTGTGCAAGACTGTCTGCAGGCACTGACAATTCAACGATGCGCAGATCAAGAGATGGATGCTTAAACGACTAGGTGGGCACATGAAGAAACAGCTCGACGGATTGACATTCATGCGCATTTTTCCAATCTTGCAAGACTTGGATGCACTTCTGTTGCATTCTTGCCCTTCGGGGTCGTTTTAGAGTTTAAGTGCTGGCTCCGAAAGATAAGCCTAGACTGGGGATTCTTGGATCGAGGCTGAGACAAGGAACCCTCGATCTACAATCTAATTGCAGGACATAGGGGCTGTCTAGGCGAGCATAAAGCGACTGCTCGGCCGCTGCCGAGGCTTGCCGGGCAGCGGCATGCACCTATCTGGCCACGTTTGCTCATACCGAACTACAACACAGAATGACACTCCCACACACATGGATGATGTCCTTGGGATTGAGCTGGACTGCTCAGCATGCAACTTTCAGGTACTCGTAGCAGGGGGGAAGATTGAAGAGGTGTTCAATTGTCACAAATCTCGCATCGCATAACGGATGTAAGTAGATGCGGAGGTGCAGGTGCCACCTACCCGCCCGTCGGGCTCCGTTCAGTCAGTCCAGTAGAAGAACATGCTTCACAGCTAGGCCTGGCGAACCAGCTTTCGCTGCCAGGAGGTCTGGGCCGGGTCCTGCCGGCTCCAAAACTCTCAAGGCATTTCAGTGCTGTGTTCTTCGGAACTGGAGATAATACCACGACTGGTAGCATTGCTGACTAGCGCACAGCGAGGACTTTTTTTTATGTTGTGGCGTGTGATGTATCTATCGCCCATGACGTCGCGCTTGGCATGTCTGAAATTCTAGGTTCCTCCGTGGCAGAGGCAAAGTCAAGGAACAGCCATGCCGCGGTGCGCCACATCACCGCCAGGGATTTGAGGAGGTAGGGGGGTCCGGTTTCAACCTTAAAAAGATCCCAAAATCTACCTCAGGACTCGATACAACGCTCCACCCAAGGTCGTCAACACAACGGGGCCGGGAATGCGTTGGGCCTTCAGTTTGGAGTAGCGGGTGTGGGGTTGTCTAGGGCTTCAGATGTGGGGTTATGTGGGGCTCCAGGTTTGCGACCTGGGCCTTCGGGTTTGAGGTTGCAAGCTCGGGCTCAGATCTGGATCCAAGTGCCACACTGGCAGTTGGCGGATCTTTCATGAAATAGAGAGCGGAGAGCTACGCCTGATCCAAAGCTGCAGCGCAACCTTAGGCCTTGCTCCAGATCTTCCGGATCCTGCGTTGAATCTTCGAGGGTCCAAACCCAAGCTTCAGCTACAGCCCCAGATTTGACAACGAAACCATAAATAAAACCCACGGAGGAAGTGCCGTGGCCCATACATCTCCAGGAAGGACTCTGCGAGCTTGTCCTATGAAAGGCCGCAGCTTCACTGTTCACAGCGGCTTGGGGTTTCGGACTTCTGAAATTGTGCTCCGGGGTTCCGCAAACAGACTTGGCCCTGCTGCCGCTGCTCTCCTCCTCTCGTCAGCAGCAGCAGCACACGCACATGACATGTTCGTCGTCCTCTGCCTCCTTCCATCGTCTTTAGGACGAGCGACGAGGACGAGAACAAAGACAGGGAAACCTCCGGAGCCTCTTTCAACAAATCGAGGAATCCGGAACTCTCCCAGAACGACTGACCCGCACATACACCCTTTCAGCCCTGAGGATCGCTTTGAGGCGTCCTCCAAGAGTCTGGTGATGGCTCGTCTCAGGGGCCGGGCCCCATAGACTGGGTTGAAGCCCTCATCCACTACCTCGACATTCGCAGGAGCTGGCAGGTTCGCCCAAGGATAGGCTTTCAGGATTGGGCTGCAGGCAGTTCCTGGTGGCCTAGTAAGATCTTGCCAGCTCGTCACCTGCAACCTCAACATCACGGGACTCTCAAGCCGTGAACTGAAAACAAAGACATCTCGCACAAAGTCCCAAACCCAAATCCCACGGACGACGACCTGAGGCCTGAAGTCCTGCCCAAATCTCGAGGCCAGGACTCTCAACCGACAACTGTGTTTTCACCGATAGTTTTTTTATGTTCTTATCGCGTCCTGGCTCAAGATGAACCAGGTTTCGATTTCACTGGGGGCATGGCCTTCTTCTTGAATCGATCTGTCATGGAGAGCTTGATGCCTTTCTCCACGCACAGCTTGAAGACTTTCCTGCCGAAAGCTTGCGGCACTGACGGCGAGTTTCCAAACCAACGACTTGAATCCCCGAGAAGTCCAACTCAGCAAGTCCGAAGTCAACAGCGAATGCCCTAATGCGAACCCGCACCTTGACCTAATGACCAAGCCCAAGCAAGGCAACGCCCCAACGTTGGCACCAAAAAGTCCGCATCCCAGGCCACAGCCCCGTCCTGAATTCCAGCTCCGCGATCTGAGCAACCTGGTCGTGTCTTCAGGAGTTTGGCTTAGTCAGGTAAGGGCTCTTCGAGTTTCAGTTTTCGGTTTCGGGCTTGCGGCTGAAGGCTTTACAGATTCTTGTGTCAGGCTTGGGGCTGAAGATACCACTTCAGATAAATGCGGGTGGAGCAGGCACAACTTCATTGTTTAGGGCAGCCTTGGAAGACCTGGTGATCTCCTGTTTCGGCGTCCCCGCCATTTTTGTATATTTTATATAGTCTATTTAAAGTCTATTATATAGTCTACTATATAGTATATTAATAGTACATGATAGTATATTATAGTATATTACAGTCTATTCACACGCTCAATATGCCCAGCAAGACCAGCCCTCAAACCCAGGGTCACCTCCTGCTTGTTCAGGGACTTGAAGACGATGATCTGGCCGAGCACTCCAGATTCTAAGGCTTTGGATTTACTATATAATATACTACATACTCTACTATATAATATACTATATAATATACTACATAATTTACTGTAATGTACTATATAATATACTAGATAATATACTATATAGTCGACTATATAATAGACTATACAAGTTTGGGGTTGAGGAGCTGGCCGTTGAGCTTATACGCGTTAGGGTTCAGAGGACATGAGTGATGTGATCAATGACTTTGGTTCTCGGACTTGGGGGTTTGAGGATCTGGGATGTGGCAGTTTCGGCCTTCGGACTTGGCAGGATTCAAAATCGTTTGGCCATTGCTTGGCCGTTTGCGTGATGAACTTGCGACCTACTTTGGACAGGCGGAGGCATTCTAATGCTTGAAGCTTTGCCGCCAGCAGACCCGGAGACATCTGCAAGCAAGAAGGACCCGATAACACAAAAGGCAAGCCGGGCCGCCCAGATCCCCGAAATCAAGAAACCTTGAGGACGCTGAGTCGATCATTCTCTCCGTGAACTCTCAAAGGGAAAAAGAAGCTAGCCGACCTCGTCCAGTCGGTTCAAGAACTCCTTGGATCTTCCGCTGGTCAGCTCTGCTTCAGGGTTTGAGGCCTGGGGACTATGACTATGCATCAAGATGTGCGATTTCGGTTTTCTGGTTGACGGCATTCAGAGACCTAGGATTTCTCCTTGGGATGTGCGACATGCACAGTCCTAACGGGGACTGGATCCATACCCCACGCACACTCTAAAGCTTGAGCTGCTTGAGCCCTGGAACTTACAAAGTCATTTTCAGGACTGCCTTATCCCTACAAACTCCGGTTAACCACCACCCAGCAGCATCTTCAGCTATTCAGCTCATTCATGAAGCCTCGACAAAAACCTCAAACAAGCTAATTATGACCCAAAGAGGCTGGTCGGAAGAAGTTCTTGAGCTCGTCATGCACGACGGTCTTCAACCTCTGGACATGCCAAGTTCTGTAAATGCTGCAAGGCTCAATGTTTAGGTTTCGGGTGGTTTTGACTTTCAGCTTTTGGGTTTCCATTTTACGATTTTGAACGCTTAGATGCGTTTAGGACTGTGGTCCCAGGTTGAAAGCTTCTGTTAGCAGCGCACTGGACGAGCGCTGCAACTGTTGGCCCCAGGGTTAGGAGTCCGGAGGACCCTTTGAGATCGAGGTGTAAGCTTGGGGACTTGGGTTTCGGAATTGAGGGGATGGAAAAACTAGTTGCTGGTGGCTCATGCTCCACGACCGATGTTGCAGTGGGTACAAACGCAGGCTACAAGGTGATACCAGATGTGCGATCTGTTGCCCCGGACTTCGGGTACTGACAGAAGCTAGTCTTACGTGAGCTGCAGAGCGACCCTCGCATGCCCTTGTCTGGTGGCATTGCACGGGTGCCTCTGATAGTTGGAGGTGTCGACGTCGTCCTCAAGCCCAGCGAACCTGAAAGCCAAGAGGGGCTCGGCTCAGATTGAAAATGTAATCGTAAGGATCCATCTTAGGAGGTGGGGTAGCACACAAGCTCTCAACAGCAGCCGAAAATCACACACACACACACAAACACACACATGCTACTGAACTTTCCTGCTCTCTCAGCTACGAGTGACAAAGACAGCTGCCAACCTGTCGATTTCTTGGCCCTAATGCACACCAACAGATATGAATAACCACAAGCCGGAACCTCAGGCATCGAACCGTGCAAGTTGGACTTCTAGTTCTCAACTTCTAAACAAGCTATCCCTGCCTAAGGTGCAATTCCTCTCGGCTTTTCAATTGTAGAAATCTCCCATGGTACTGGAAAATCAATCTTTGCTCTCGTAACTCGTAATTAAGCAGCCCCGGATATGAAAAGTAGAGAACCGCTCATCTTCGTGTGAGAACCAGCCACGGAGTCTGAGGTCAACACCCAAGGCCGCCTCCGCCCAAGAGACCCTTCTCGATCGCCTGGCGCAATACATATAGTCCCAGAGCCGCAAGTCAAGCAAGCAAGGATGGATGCCCATGTTGTTGCCGGTAGATTCGAGGAACGAGTCATGGATAATGTCTTCGGACGCAACGGAAGTGCTACTCGATCGACGCTTGGAACAAAACGGGTGTCGGTGTAATGCTACCATGAAACCTAACCGGCTACCAAACCCCAGCCGCAGCCCCAACCCCACAAGACCTGATAATCCAATAACCGACAGCCCAAAGCCCAACACTCCTCCAGACGGGCCTTGGCGCCGACGTTCGAGGTCATGATGATCAAGGTCTCAGTTAGGCTGAGCTGGTGATTTCCAATTTTCATCCCTCGTCACATGTTGCAACGCAACAATACTCGTGTCGTGCTCCCTGTCCATCTCCAGTCTGCAGGGACCACATGGCTACGTGGTAGGTGCTGCCGAAGTCACGTTCTTAAACGACACCGTCCGCCCTTTGGAGTCAGTGAGACGGCCGTCCTGCAGCTGATGGCTACTCTTCCATCGTCGATCTAGCACTGCGATGTGCAGCCTGTATCCAATCTCACTGCCATCGATGCAGAAGAAAGAAAAAAATGGCTGATCCGCATCGAACTCAATGCCATACTAACTTCCGACCCTGGCTCTGGATTCCAGAACTTACCCAAGATGCCCCACAACAATCCTGATTCAGCGGGCAACTATCCCCACCTCCCCCCAAGATAGTACAAAAGCCCCAAAAAGACTCCGAGCCTGCAAACCGAAAGGCCGAAACCGCCACCACTTCTTCGAGCTTGCCTCGAGGATCTGCAGGCAGAGGTTGAAGACGTCGGGATGCGCCTTCTCCACCTTGCCAGCTGGGCGGGGGGATGGCTTTGACATTTCTGGTTTCGGGTTCATCCGCGCCAGATTCGAATTTGGTGGCAAATTCTCGCGGCACCGAGGAATTGCTCCAAATTCTGCAAGTACTAAGAACCGAAAACCCTAACACCCAATGCCCTGAAAAGAAACCCAATACTGCAACTCACCCTGAAGATTCTGCAGCTGAGCACCGCCCTCCCACCTCGTCGAAGAGGACTAAACTGTACGGCCTTCTTCGCACGCCGTCGGTCAGCTGACTTTCCTCCCCGGGGCTGAAGTGTGAGGACGCAAGGCTCACAGGCGAAAAGCCCGACTGATGGGTTATGTGATCTTATCCTTGAGTCTGCAGGATGTGGGCTTTGCATATGACCCAGGGAGGTTCATCCTCTCGGGAAACCCCCAAATCCAAAACACCTAAACCCGAAGCCTGAGTCCTCAAGCGGAGTTTCTGGAGGTTGGGGATCCTTCAACGAATTCAAAAGAATAGGATCCTTGCTTGGAGGACCCCTAAATCAGGAACCCCGAACTGTGTCTAGAGATCCCACTTAAAGGCCGAAGTTCCTGGAACAACCATGAGCCCTCGAAGGCCGTGAAAAGCTCTGATTTCTTTGGCGCTGAGCATGGATTTCGACTCCAGAAACTCAACAGGATTGGAAGGACCAAAACACGAGCGCAGTCCATAAGTTACAATGTAGCAACTGATGCGGTAGCCTCATGAATGTCAGCATCGTGCGCCACAGTTGGCTGTAGCGGTGGCATTGCATGCTGAATCTGACGATCTGCCGGTCTGCATGGCTGAGTAAGGAATCTGCACGAAACCCCAGCCCCACGCTCTGAAGCCCCTGGCTGTAGGCCTGTGCTGTGGCGGAACCCCTGCAACCAACACACCTTCGCCCAGAATTGTCGTTCTACGAACCCCTGGTGTCCCCTCCCGGCCTCGTCGTAGCCGACGTACCCGGGCGGGCTGCCAATAAGTTTGGAGACCGTGTGCCTTCCCAGGCAGCCAGGCATTCGTGAGAGTCTTGGCTTTGCAAAACCAGAACCGGCAGCTTCAGCCGCTAATACCAGCAACGACGAGGATGATACGACTCTAAGCTGGCACCAACTACTTACTAACCACAATCGTGAAAATGAGCCATCGTGAAAAATCGCTGTCTACATTGGCCGTGACGTAAGCAATGCAAAACTACTAAGTACTAATGATGTGCATAAAGATGAAGTCGAGAATGGTACTTGTGATTCGCTTGACTTCCAGCTTCCACTTGACACCCCTCGGCCTGCCCGAGCCGAAAGCCTAAAACAAAAAGACCCCCAAAGCTTCAACGACAAAGCCTGCAACGCAAACGCATGCAAGCACCAAGCTCTAAAGTCTTAACCCTCAAGCTTCAAAGCCCAATAGAGTCCTACAGTCCTACAGCTGCTCTATGCTTTTTCTGGGCCGATCAAAGTACTGACCTGGCGAAGCAGAGCCTGAAGTCACCTCTCCTGTGGAAGTAATGACACTGGCCGGTCCCCACGATATCTGGTCTAAGTACTGAGTATAGGGGGTACGTGGCAATCTGGTCAGAAAGACTACCAAGGTTTCTTCTAGCAATCTCACAGACCCATGATCGAGATATTCCAAACCCCACAAGTGGAGCTTGTGAACTCCCTGACCCTCCCAGGCCTCTCCATGAATTCCTGGGATCGGGACTCACAAGTGAGGGCTTTCGGACTTCGGCGCGGGATGCACGCCGGGTTTGCTGTTGGGGAGAACCAGGAGAACCAGGTGCCGTCAGAGGTTATGCTTCAGCTTTTTGGGGGTCTCGCGGCTTCAGAGAGCGATTCAAGGATGCTGAAACCCAGAGATGACCGTTGGATCTCCTGTTGCCTTCGGGGCTCGGAGGGCTTCCGGCCTCTCGGACGAAAGAAACCTCGACACGCCCCGGTCAATTAACAAACGGGTCTGTGCTTTGGTGCACTTCTTCGAACCTGGAATGCGGGTGGTAGGGTGGTAGGGTGTCGGTGGCGGCGGCAGTGGCAGAATGTCGAGGTGGTGTCTTTTTTACCGCTGTCCTCCTCTTGGTGGTCTATTTCCCTGCACCTGAAGCCCCAGAAGTCCGTGCATAGCACCATTCAGCCACGGCTCGCTCATGTCCAGGCGGATCATGGCCTCCTCCTTGCCGAAGTATGCCGCGGACAACGCCTTGCAAGTGCGGTTGCTTTGCATACGAGCCTTGCCGTTCCGCCACGCTTCTGCATACCAGTATGAAGTAAGATGCGGCAGGTGCGAGCAGGTGTTGCGTGGTCCAGCATAGGGTGTCAGAGGATTTCGAGTTTCAGAGTCTCAGGATTTCAAGGTTAAGCACTTCAGCAGCTGTGCCAGATTGTCAACAGCAACCCTTCGAACGGTCTTGAAAGCTGGCGCTGCTTGCGCGGCTTGCTTCAGCTCCAGAAGATAAAGATTAAACCTGTGTGCGCCAATCCCTTACCCCAAGCTTCCTAAGCTCGAAAGACTGGCTTCCCTTCCTTCCTTCTGAAGCCCTACAAGCTCTCACCCCTCTCCTTGCACAGCTCCGTCTTGCCCACGCCGGTAGGGCCGCAGAAGATGAACGAGGCCTTGTTTGGGCATGTAGGGTCCAGGGTTTACGGATGTGACACGGTGCTGGGTTGAGGAGTCTCCGTGCATGTCAGATTCGAGTTTTCCGGGGTAGCCCAGTATTCTGGTGGTAGTTTCATCATGAACAATGTTTTCTCCCTGTAGATGGAAACCAAAGGTGGATGTATCGGGGTGAGGAGGGATTTAGCGAACTGGAACAGCGTGGGGAGGACTTTCGAAGCATGACCTTTCTTGGGATTCTCCTTACTCCTTTCAACTTTCCAAGCCCTGTCGACCTGTGACCCGGAACCGGTAGCCCCAAATCCTGTCCCCTGAACGCTGCACCCGAAATCCTGATGGCCGAGTCGCGATAGGGCGGTTCGGGTTCTTCAGGCCAGAACGGGCTCGGCGGACGGCCTGCATTCCAATCTCAATCAGGAATTTTTGGGTTCGGTGCCGTTCTGACCGTGACTCGCACCAGCATGCCCATTGCCCATCCCTGTTGCCACTATGCGTTGTCTCGTCGTTATTCCGACTAAACTAGCACTATTCGAAGTTCCCGTGGCAATACGAATACGCCTCCTCTATGATCAGCAGATGGTAGGGATAGTAGTGGGAGCAGGAGTAAGAGTATGAGTAGAAGTCAGAGTGGGAGTAGAGGAGAGTAGTAGTAGTAGTAGTAGTAGTAGTAGTAGTAGTAGTAGTAGTAGTAGTAGTAGTAGTAGTAGTAGTAGTAGTAGTAGTAGTAGTAGTAGTAGTAGTAGTAGTAGTAGTAGTAGTAGTAGTAAGTAGTAGTAGTAAGTAGTAGTAGTAGTAGTAGTAGTAGTAGTAGTAGTAGTAGTAGTAGTAGTAGTAGTAGTAGTAGTAGTAGTAGTAGTAGTAGTAGTAGTAGTAGTAGTAGTAAGTAGTAGTAGTAGTAGTAGTAGTAGTAGTAGTAGTAGTAGTAGTAGTAGTAGTAGTAGTCGTAGCAGCAGCAGCAGTAGTAGTTGTAGCAGTAGTAGCAGTAGTAGAAGAAGGAGGAGTAGTAGTAGTAGTAGTAGTAGTAGCAGTGGTAGTCGTCGCAGGAGTAGTAGTAGCAGTAGTAGCAGCAGCAGCAGTAGTAGTACTAGTACACTGTAGACTCGTAGTAGCGGCAACGGTTGTGATAGTGGTCGTGGTCGTTGTCGTGGTCGGGCGCCGTGGTGGTGATGATGATGATGATGGTGGTGGTGGTGGTGGTCGAAACAGTAACAGTACTACCAGGGGCAGCAGATCCAGGACGAGGAGCAGAATAAATTACAACTTACAACGACAACAAGAAAGTCATAGTTTAAGTACCAGTGGTACGAGTCTTGACGATAGTAAGCAGAGGTCGAAATCCTACCCGCTGCTGTCAATAGTACAGGCGCGAAAGACGTGTGTCTCGATTCTCTGGCCTTGGAGACAGCAGTCACGGCCTCTTCCTGCCCGATCACTCTATCGTGGAGTGTCTCCTGCAGGAGCCACGCAATTTTTGGACTTAAAGTTTCTACGTTCATCACGCACTTCATCGTCGTTATTGTGTGTAGCATCCTTTTTGGCATCGCTGTTGATGTAACGCGGGTTCACAAGGCGAACGGCTCGGACAACCCTCTTCTGGTTCACTTCCAATCATGTTCGCCCAGCTCATAAGTTTCAGTAACCTGAGCACCGTCCAACCCTCCATTCAAACCCCCATCGTGTGAGGCCTAAGACCCAAAATCTCAAAGCCCGTTTCGGTGCAGGTTATGCACAGCAGAGTGGTGAATCTTAATAGTGACTAGTGCGGTTCTCGTCTGCTTCAAAGGTTGGCACGACCACAAGCTCCAAGTCGGGCTCAGGGCTCACGGCAGACGGAAAGGAAGCTGAAAGTGTATGGCATTTTCAGAAGGCAGTGGTGTGCGATCAGCATGAGCAGTCACTAGCGCCAGTAGTACGGTGCTATCTTTGAAAGGGCTGAGGATTCAGGGTGTGCTTCTCCCCAGGCCCGCCTCAAGGGCTACTAGCCTGGCACTCTCGTCCGTGCTCACCTGCGGCAAAGCACAACAGCACAGAGGGAGTCTTTGGGTTGTTTTTCAGGGTAATGGAACTCGACACCGAAAAGAGCAGTTTTGTGCCTCGGGAATTGGAGATCAGTCGGTGAATTTCAGCCCTTAAACCCTTTTGCTAAAGCTGGCTCTGTCAGGACTTCATCGGTTTAGTTTTGAGAGCTGAAGGCTCGGAACCCGATTAAAGCGGCGGCAATGCCACAGATGTCGACGTGATGATGTGGCAGTTAACAGCACGTCCTCCGATCAAGAATCAAACTGCAACAGCACCGGCAAATCTCGCCTTAGCACGATTCTTGCATTCCTTTCGACCCACTTTGCCTCTCGTTTCGTCCTCAACAGATCACAAGGACTCCCATCATCCTAGCTCTGAGGTCTCGAAATACCGAAGCCCTCAGAATGCAGAACCTGCACCTTGACGTCAAACCCGCATGCTGGTGCCTTGTCGACAGGCACGCCTGTCCACTTGGAGACCACCTGTCTTCGGAGAGACGAGGGAGTTGGACAAGATTGAGCACAGGGCTTTCGGAGCCAGGGTTGTTGCTTGTGGCAGGTTTCTGAATCTGCGTGGACCCACGGTGCCAGATAAAGGACAAGAAATCCGGCAATGTGGGTGCAGGCTGGTAAGCATGCGTCGAACAAATCGCCTTTGCGAAAAAGAAGGTTGAGGGATGCCAGTACACCAGCCCTCACATGAAGACAGTCCCTATTTCTGACAGAGGAAGGCACCACGTTCCTGTGCAGCACTACAAGTGGCCGGAGAAAGATGCAGCTCTAACCTCAACTGACACACTTGCAAGAAACCGAAGCCGTCACCCGTACAAGTCTAGGGCGGCGTCTAGACCCGAAAGCTTGGGGGTGTGCCTGGGCCACATCGGCCTCGGAAACCAGCGGGATCTCCTCCTGGCCGTCGAAGATGGAAGGGTTCAGCTTTGGGGATGTCTGGCTTCCCAAACGACGAACCAACAACGGAGACGAGATCAGCTCCTAAACAATGGAGACAAGTGCTATTGTTAGTGCTATTGTTAGTACAAGCTCTACTCCTACTCCCACTCCTGCTCCCACTCTCCCGCTACTACTACCACCACCTCGACTACCACTCCGACTATGACGACGATGAATACGACTACCACTAC